TCTTTCTAAAAAGTACTTAGTGAAATTTCTTAAAATGCCCTTGGTCAGTGGTGGACAGAAGGGAATGTCTGTTCTTTCCTGGCTGCGTTGCCTGGCAGCAATTCCCTTGCCCAGTCCAGGGGCAGCGTTTTCACAGTTTTCAAAGAGATTGGTGGGTTTTACAGATCACTGGTTGAAAAGAAACACAAATTGTGGAGGAGAAAGTAGTGAAACTTTCTTTTTTTTCTTAGGGCTCAGCCCAGGAGAACTTTTCCCTTTCCCTGGAACTGCTTAGAGCAGGCACAAAGTGGCGGGAATGCTCATCTGAGGAACTATTTCCCCTGGCCCATGTGCATTCTGCTTAGATGGCCATGGGTGTTGGGGCCTGGACTGAGGCCCTGCTGTAGTTGTTACAGCTCAGGAGGGAAATGTATCCTGACTTGTCGGGAAAGTCATGGTATACCTGCAGCTGTGAGGAGAACGGTATCCTGACTTGTCAGAATGTCAGGGTATACCTGAACTTGGGGTCCTGTAGAGGATGGATCCCCACAGGATGTGGCACTCCTGTTCCTCTGAGAGAGAGCCTTTACAGCTGAGCTCTGCCCTGCACCTAAAGGAGTTTCCCAGCAGATGTGTCTGTTTCTTCTTCTGCTCTGCCCCTCTAAGGGAGCTTCCCAGCTCCTCGCTAGCAAAAGATCTTCACCCAAAACTCTCTCAAGAAAGAGATGTATTTGGGAAGGAGGAGTCCGGGAGAGTGGCTGCCTCTGCCAGTGTGGAGAAGGACAGCTGATACCTGAACAGGCCGAGGGGTTTATGTAGGGCTTCTTAAGGGTGGAGTTTTTCCAGGGAGAAGATTTTTAGGGAGGGAATTGGTCAGATTTCAATCCCCTTGAGCTTGGACAAGCTCAGATTGGCTAGATTTTATGCTCAGGGATTGGTTATTTTTCTGATCAAAGATTGCTGGGGCATTCTAAAATTTTTCTTACTCTAAGATAAACATGTACATGTATTCTGTCATAACATTCAGAAATTGAAGCTACATTGTAGTTGTACTTAAACAGTTTACAGAGACTGGAAAGATGGCTAAGCTGTGAGTGTGCATATGGAGTTTCCTGAAGGCAGAGTTCAGTTCCCGAGTCCAGGATGACAGTTTGTTTAACTATGAAGGAATCGATACCTATTCCAGACTTGTGGTCTTTTACAACTCTTTTGTGACATGGATCCCAAGTGCTTTGCTCTTCTTTCTCCTGGGATATTCTTGTGTGAATCTTTTTGTGTTCTTATTTCTTGAGGCAAAGTCTCATTGCACAGGTTGTCCAAAAACTCCCTGTTTACCCATGAATGACCTTGAACTTCTGATCTTTCTACCTCCACCTCTCAAGTGCTGGGATGACAGCCATTCTAATCTGTCTTTGGGTTTTTATTGCTGTGAAGAGACACCATGGCCATGGTAATTCTTACAAAGGAAATCATCTAATTGGAGTGGCTCACTTACAAGACAGAGGTTTATTCCATTATCATCATGGTGGGACATGGCAGCATGCAGGCTGACATGGTGCTGGAGAAGGAGTTGAGAGTCTTACATCTTGCAGGGAAGGAAACAGGAAGTGGGCTGAGACAATGGTAGTAATTTGAGCATATATGGATACCTCAATGCCCACCTCCACAGTGACACACTTCTTCCAACAACACCGCACCTCCTCCAACAATGACACATCTCCTAATAGTGCCACTCCCTTTGGAGGAGATTTTCTTTCTAACCACCACACTATCCTTGTCCCCTTTATAGACTAGGAATTAAACTGAGAGATTCATGCATGCTAGGCAAGTATGCTTCCAACTGAGCTACATCCTCAGATCCTATAATCTTTTTCTTTTTAATAGGGTTTTAATTATAATGTTGCTATATATGAATGTGTTTCCTGCTTAAATGCCTGTGTGCAGCATGTATTCCTCATGCCAAATAGACCAGAAAAGAGTTTGATCACTTTGAACTGGAGTTAGAGGTGGTCCTGAGCCACCATGTGCATACTGGGAAACAAACCCCAGGCCCTTTGGAGGAACACCAAGTCCTGGTAACTACTGAGCCATGCAGTGACCCTAAGTGATCTGATTCTATTCATCCCCCAGATCTCTAGTTCTCCAACCATTTATGTTTTAAGTCAGCAGTCAGATCTTTTATTTTATTTCATTTTTCTTTAAATTATTGATGGAATGTGTATGAGTGTTTTTCCTGTATGTATATCCATGTACCATATGAATGTCTGCAGTCTCAGAATGCCAGAAGAGGGTACTGAATCTTCTGGAACTGGAGTTCTGATCATTGAGTCTCCATGAGGTTGCAAGGAATCAAACCTGGATCCTCTGGAAAAGCTGGCAGTGCTCTTTAACTGCTAAGCCAGCTGTAAGTGCCAGAGATCTAAACAACAATGCAGGTCATGTTGCTATACACATTATTCTCTAAACCGAAGGCCTAACAGTAAATTCCTTGTAAAGTCAACTCCTCCCAAGTCCACTGTTTTTCCTGGTTCTCTGTTGACACTGCTTAACCATGCTTCAGTGCTTTGGGTTGTCAAGCACATTATCACCTTAGGGCCTTTTTCCCTTTGCCAGGAATGGTCAACTTTCATGTATCCCATATTTCCTTTGTGTCACTGAATGAAGAAGTCCAGCTCTAACCACTTTAAAAACTGCAACCATGAAGCCCAGAGTGGTAGAATATGCTTATAATCCTAGGATTTGGAAATTAAGGCAGGAATATCAAGTTCAAGGCTGTCAAATGACAAATGACAGTCAAGGTCACCTGTGGCTACAAGTACACCATGTCTTAAAGATAATAGTAACCTGAAGCCTTAGTGTTGGGTCTAGAGCTCATGAGCCTCGGTGAAGAATGTCAGACTTCCTTACACTGAGCCATGAGATTAGGCCTCAGTTTCATTTTGAGGTAACAATATGTTGAGACACATATGTCATGAATAGCTGGATGTAGGAAGTAGAAGTAGCCAAAGATAGAGATGTATGAGAAGTTGCAGGGTGTAAGAGCCATATAAACCTTTTAAAACTGAACCCCTAGGTACCTGACACAGAGCTGCAGGATTTGGTGTTTACCCTTCATGGTTTCAAACTTACCTTGGTCCAATCTCTCCTTAATTCCTTGAAGGGGAAATGTATATTCTGTCCCTTTGTGTATTGGTTTGATGTGATTTGTGTTTTGATATTACATGAGGTCACAGTTAAGAGGTTGCTTTGCATGTTAGAGGAAAGTGTGGACATTCATAATATGAGGATCTTTGAAATCAGAGTAAATGCAATTTGCATCATGGTTTGATGGTGAGCTTGTCATGACCTGTGTCAAAATGTTGAGGGTTGAATGAAACACCTTGCAGGTAGTGTGCTGAGTTTGAGCATTTGTCTTTGGTGTGGGCCTTCATTGGTGACTTACAAAACCCTTAGTAGGAGGAGCCTTTCCAGAGGAATATAGTCTCACCACATTTCTTTGTTTTGTTAAAAGCGAGCAGCCCCCTTCCTTCTCATGTAGGCATGCCATCACCAAGGGTAGAAACTCCATTTCATTCTTAAACAATGTAAGGAAGAAGTAGAAGCAATTGCCCTTCCTGCCAATCCATATTTCTTGCCTGATATTTTTATGTTTATATTTTTGGTGGATGGAATCTGGTTTTTGTATGTGTAGCATTTTCTCTTGTTCAGAACTTTACCCACATCATGACTTTTGAACTTTGGCATTGGTGTCATTTTTCAGAGCAAGAATGCATTCATTCATGAAATTAATAGTGATCTCCTCAATCAGTGAATTGCTAGTGTGTAATATTGCCCCTACCTTTGTGTATGTTTTTACACTTTTATATTGTGTTCAAATGTCTGAAACTTTTGCGTGTGTGTGTGTGTGTGTGTGTGTGTGTGTGTGTGTGTGTGTGTGTTTACCAATTGTCTTCCTGGCATTTACTGAAGGCAGAAGAGAGAGCATTGGATTCTCTTGACCTGGAGTCAGGAATAGTTGTTCACTTCCAGTGAGTGTTGGAAAATGATCTAGAACCTCTTCAAAAGCAAAACATGATGTATTTTTTCTTTAATTTTTTTTGGGGGGGGGGTTTTGTTTTGTTTTGTTTTTTGTTTTTTTTTTTTTTAGACAGAGTTTCTCTGTGTAACAGTCCTAGCTATCTTGGAACTTACTTTGTGGACCAGGCTTGAACTCACAAAGATCAGCCTACCTCTGCCTCCCAAGTACTGGGATTAAAGGTGGGCACCACCACCACAGCCAGCACAGCAGATGATCTTATCTGTTGACCCATCTGTCTATACTCCCACCCTTTTGGTGTTTGTTTTACTGTTTTAGGATCAGCATTTACTTTACTAATGTTCTTGAGAACTCATTGATCTGTCAGTAACTTCTTAAAAATGCTTTCCTTCCTGGGAATTATTACCCTTATAGTTCAATAGGGGTCACTCCAGCTTATGATAGACAAGTTCAGAACAGGCGGGAATGTTTAACTCTATGGAGGAATTTTGAGTGAGGCCTGAGTGCTTTCTGTTTTTTATAGAGACAGGCTCTCACTATGTACCTTTGGCTGTCCTGGAATCTATACATAGACCAGGCAGGCTTAGAAATCTCAGGGTTTCACCTGTCTCTACCTCCTGAGGTTTGGGATTAGAGGTGTGTACCACCCCACCCTTATTGTCTGTCCTTTCTTGAAGTTAATAATTTTTGATAAAAATTATTCTGCTGATGTATACTATAGTGTTACGCAGGTTGCATGTCTCTCTGTATTATTAGGCATTTCTCCTGATGTGGCGTATTCTATTCGGGGCACAGGAATGGAAGATGTCATCCTATTTTTCTGTTTCCTTTTAAAATGAGTTGGTGACTGCATTTGATATTTACTAAACCATGTCATAGACTGTTTCGAGCACAGAGAATTATGTAAATATATTCTCAATGAAGTGTACTTTTGCAATTCAGTCAGTCTCATTATTTCAATTAAGAACATATATGGGACTTTTAGGATGCAGTGACCTATGAGGATGTGCATGTGAACTTCACTCCTGAAGAGTGGGCTTTGCTGGATCCTTCCCAGAAGATTCTCTACAAAGATGTGATGTTGGAAACCTACTGGAACCTCACTTCTATAGGTAAGAATGTGGGCTTTCTGTCACTTTTTAACTTAAGGAAAGAAGCCTTTCTTGGAGATTGATGCTCTTGTATAATTATGAATGTTAAAGAAGAAAACAGTGGTGAATAAATCAGGCATTGTTCTAAAGTTCATGAAAAACAGTACTTTCAATTGTTCGTAATTTCCAGTAATATATCACATTTTCTGGTACTGTATTTTAGGATACAAATGGGAAGACCATAATATTGAAGAACATTGTCAGAGTTGTAGAAGAAATGGAAGGTAATTTACATGTGCAAGCTGATATATATGTATGTCTGAAGAAATGTCAATGTACCCTGAACTTTTTTTAAAAACAGATTTATTTATTTATTTGTATTTTATGTGTATACCCTGAACTTTTAATAAAAAGCAACTGAGTAAATAAGCATAGCTTTGTGATGATTATTAAATTTGCACACCATGTACTCCAATGTCAGGTAGCTGATCACTGTTTGCATAGCATTCCATTAAAACAAGTCAAGGAAACAATGCCATAATGGATGTCATGGCTTTAATCATAGCCATGTGTGAAGCATGTTGTAGAACTGTCCATCCACTTACTGTCATGCCATTCGATTATAATATAAGGTATATACATTGATGAGGGGATTAGTGTGTATCCAAGACCTTTTATAAGCAAAGCTTTCATATTAAAGCTAGTGTTCCTCATTTTCTTGTAGTAGTGATTTAGCATAGTTTAGGGAGTGGAGCACTTTGTGAGAGACCAGGAGGGTGTCTTGGTGTACAAACATGAATCTCTATTCCCCATCTGTATGACACACAAAACATTTGACTATGTGAATGCAATATGAAAACCTTTTATTTGTTATCTTCTTTTAACCAGGTATATCATCTGTCACTCTAGATACAAGCCATGTGAACATAAAGGGTATGGAAAGAAGCATTGTAGTTCTGTCTCTCTCAGAACAATTGGAAGCTATGTGGTAGTCCCCACTATGAGAAGACTTGATGACTGTGATACAAGTTTACAATTAATTGGTTTTCCAACTTCAGTGGGAATACATCAACAAACTCTCATTGGAGAAAATTCTCATAAGTACCAGGAATATGGAAATGCATTTCACTGTACTGGTTCACTATGCACATGTAGTGTGGCTCACAGTATAAGAAAATGTTGTGAATGCAATCAGTGTGGTCAAACTCTGAGTTCTTCAAATTCTCTTCAAAGATGTGAAAAATCTTATGTGGGAAGAGAAAATAATAAATGTGTGTCATCTACTAACGGCTTTAGCCTTTACAGGCATCGTCAAACATACCAAACAACCAATAATAAAGAGGCTCTCTATGAATGTAATCAACATGATAAAGACTTTAGATCTGATTGCTCTTTAGAAGTATACCAAAGAACTCATTTGGAAGGAAAACTCTATGAGTACAATCAAAGTTATAAAGCCATTGCATGTCCCAGTCTTCATCATCAAGAACATAGAATTCAAACTAGAGAGAAAAGGTATGAATATCAGCAATGTGACAAAGCCTTTCCATGTCCCACTTATGTTCAAATACATAATAGAGGTTATACTGAAGAGAAACCCTATGAATGTAATCAAGGTGGTAAAGCCTTTGCACAGAAGAGTAGTCTTCAAAGTCATGAAAGAATTCATACTGGAGAGAAACCCTATGAATGTAATCAATGTGGTAAAGCCTTTGTCCAGAAGAGTAGTCTTCGCAATCATGAAAAGCATCATGCTGGAGACAAACGCTATGAATGTAATCAATGTGGTAATGCCTTTACACGGAAGAGTAGTCTTCACAATCATGAAAGAAGTCATAGTGGAGAGAAACCCTATGAATGTAATCAATGTAGTAAAGTCTTTACAAAGAAGAGTAGTCTTCACAGTCATAAAAGAATTCATACTGGAGAGAAACCCTATGAATGTAATCAATGTGGTAAAACTTTTATAGGGAAGAGTAGTCTTCACAATCATGAAAGAAGTCATACTGGAGAGAAACCCTATGAATGTAGTCAATGTGGTAAAGCCTTTGCAGCGAATTATAAGCTTCTCAGTCATGAAAGAATTCATACTGGAGAGAAACCCTATAAATGTAAGCAGTGTGTTAAAGCCTTTGCAAAGAAGAGTAATCTTCTCAGCCATGAAAGAACTCATTCTGGAGCGAAACCTTATGAATGTAATCAATGTGGTAAAGCCTTTGCACAGAAGAGTAATCTTCTCAGTCATGAAAGAATTCATACTGGAGAGAAACCCTATGAATGTAATCAGTGTGGTAAATCCTTTGCAACAAAGGGTAATCTTGACAGTCATGAAAGAAGTCATAGTGGAGAGAAACCCTATGAATGTAATCGATGTGGTAAAGCCTTTGCACAAAAGAGTAGTCTTCAAAGTCATGAAAGAATTCATAATGGAGAGAAACCCTATGAATGTAATCAATGTGGTAAAGCCTTTGTCCAGAAGAGTAGTCTTCACAGTCATGAAATAATTCATACTGATAAGAAACCCTATGAATGTAATGAATGTGGTAAATCCTTTGCAGCGAAGAAGAATCTTCTTGGTCATGAAAGAAATCATACTGGAGAGAAACCTTATGAATGCAGTCAATGTGGTAAAGCCTTTGCACTGAAGAAGTATCTTCTCAGTCATGAAAGAATTCATACTGGAGAGAAACCCTTTGAATGTAATCAATGTGGTAAATCCTTTGCAACAAAGAGTCGTCTTCTTACTCACAAAAGAATTCATACTGGACAGTACCACATGGATGTAATCAATGTGGTAATTTCAGATGTGAGCTGCCATGTGGAAGCTGGAAACTGAACTGTGTTTTCTACAAGGGGTGTTTGCTGGAGTCCTGCTCCATAGGGGTTCAGGTCCCAAAAAGGAGATTAGGCAATAACAAAGTAAGATTGCCATGATCTGAGGGTGAATGAGGATAGCTGTTGCTTTATTGAAAAAGGACTATACCCTTTATACTCTATAACTGAACATTAGTTTAGACTCAAGAAAGATTAAAAGGAGACTTAATGATTCCATGATGAAACCAACCATCAACCTCATCACAGCATTTTTCCTGAGGCAAAAAGTGATAAATTCAGCAAGTATCTTAATGCCTTTCTGGATCCACGCCCATTGTTTCCTTTCATAGTGTGCTTTCATCCTTGAACTATGTGTATCCAGTTAGTACATCTTTAAGTTTCCTATTCTTGGTGTAATCAGGGGGACACAATAGGGATTCTTGTGTGGGAGTAGGCATAGTTATGCTACATCTATGATTCCATGGTGGTGGGGATTTTTTCCAAGAATTATGTTTAAAGAGACTTGCCATTAAAAAGTCCGCAAAAAAATTTCCCACAGGAAAAGGCTTAAGGAAACTTCATAACATAATTAGTGAGAATTATTAAAACTAAAAGGTAAAAGATGCTGGAAATTTAAGATCTGTAATGTCAAAGTGCTGGAACTTTGTGAAGTAGCAATGGTATCCATGCAGTTCACACCAGGTACTAAACTGCTAAACCATCTCTCATCCCTTTTTGTTTCTTTTAAGATTTAATTTATTATTCTTATCTTTGTGAGTGCATATTATAGTTTGAAATCAGATGATAGCCTGTGTGACCCAGTCCTCCCTTTCTACCACTTGGGTCCTTAGGACCAAAGCATCAGCCTTGGCTTCAAGCACCTTTACCTGCTGGACCATGCCACAGCATCCACTGAGCCCTGATAGTTCTTTTGTTAATCATTGTTTTTAGGTTTTGTTTTTAATACAGGCTTATCAAATTCAGGCTGACTTTGAACTTAAGACCTTTCTGCTTCCACCTCCAATTACTGGGATGACAGGTTTCACTGCTGTTATTTACCAGGCGTGAGAACGGACCACAAAATACAACAAAACCCACTTTAAGAGTTTTATTGTGGGGGATAGGAGGGCTGGAGAGATGGATCAGAGGTTAAGAGCACTGACTGCTCTTCCAAAGGTCCTGAGTTCAATTCCCAGCAACCACATGGTGGCTCACAATCCTCTATAATGAGATCTGGCACCCTCTTCTGGTATGCAGGCAGGATACTGTATGAATAATAAATAAATCTTTTTTTTAAAAAAAAAGAAAGAAAAAAGAAAATGTTTATGCCAACTGGTAGAAGGAAAACTCACCCACTGAAGTAGCCAGTGTTTTGCGAAGAGATGCAGTGGCCAGGCAGATGGAAAATGGGCAGTTGTAGATGAACTGACCTCAGTTCAGGATTCTGGCATGAGGGTGCCACGAGAGCCTGTTTGGTCTCAACAACAGTGTTACTTACTGGGTTCAGGAACAGAACACGAGATACAACAAAGCCCACTTTAAGAGTTTTGTTAGGGAGGATAGGAAAGTTGGGGCTGATGCAGCAGGCCTGCCGGAGAGAAATGGACAGGAAGTGGGAGGGTATGGGGGTTTTCTTAAAAGAGGGAATCTGCTTTTAAGGACGACCTCCAGCATGCGAATGGGAGGTTATGTAACCATGCCATGCATGTGTATAGATTACATGGCCACGCTGCAAACGGATTACATAGGAGGTAAGATATGGAGTGTCTAAACATTTTGCCTGAATGCTAATAGCGCATGTGCATCATGGGACTCTGGAAGCAGGTAGATTGTCAGAAATGATAACAACTACCAGGACCTGTTTATGCAGAAGTCTTGTGTATGCTGAGCAAGTATTCTATCCAATGACTGCCATCTGATGTGAAAGCATTGATGTAGCTGAGTTGTTCATATTCAGGTCCACACTGAGATCTTGTCTCAAAAACAAAAACTGCAAACAAACAAAAACTTTCCTTAAAAGAAATTGTGTGTTTTGAGACAGAGTCTATCTCAGTTGCCTAGACTGGCCTATAACTCACCATTGTAGATGTAACCAACCTTCTTATTAAATAAGAAACACAGAACCAATGCAAAGAAGAAAGCCAAGAGGTCAGAGCTAAGAGCTAAAACCTTACCCTTCCTCCTGTGGTGGTCCTACCTCTCCGAACCAGAGCTACCCCTGTGTTAAAGTCTTTATATAGAGTTTCTGTTCTGCCTTCTCATTGGTTGTAAACCCAACCACATGACCACCTCATCACGGCCTGTCTGTATAGGCCTCCCCGTTTTCTATGATTGGTATTGAGATTAAAGGTATGTGTATCCAATACTGGCTGTAGCCCTGAACACACAGAGACTTACCTAGCTCTGCCTACCAAGTGTTGGGATTATAAGCGTACACCACCACTGCCCTGCTTTCCTATGGCTTGCTAATAGCTCTGACCCCCGGGCAACTTTATTTATTAACATACAAATAATATTTTAATACAAATAAAATATCTCCATACACCGTAGCCCTTGAATCCTGCCCCTTGGCCTCAGCTGCCTAAGTACCTGGAGAAAAGGACTGGACTACTGAGTGAGCAAGCCAGAGCACAGAGGGGCTTAACTATGTGTCTGGATATGCACAGCTAGTAGCCAGAGGTGCATGACAAGATCAGAGTGTTCCAAGGGTCAGGTTGGAATCCAGAACCTTCTTTGATGTAGAATGCCATCAATTCAGCATGGAAGGATAGGAACAGGCCCAGGATCTAATCCACTTTGGGGTTGAAATATCCTGAGAGTCTTATGTGGGCTAGGGCCAAAATGCAGTGTGAGGCATTTTTTATGAAGAGAGATAGACACTACCTAGGCCCACCCTGTCATGGCTCAGCTGCAACTTCAGTGGCCTCATATAGAGGGTGAGTGAGCATGCCAGGGCCAGAGCTGTGCCCGGCAGTCCCTGGACAAGGACAAGGAGAATGGCGAAAAGGAGGCTTTCCTCCTGCTCACTGTGGGGGCACACTAAGCTGAGAATACACAAAACTCAAAAACCTCCCAGATAGCAAGATATTGCAAAATCCTTCCACTTCTCACATGAGAAGCTGAGGCATAGAGGAAAGGAGGAGAGTCTGTGCTAGAGTAATTCTGGGTATTGATGCTCCAATTGGTTATTGTAACCATGGTAACAAGTGTGCTGTACTTACATAGGCACAGGGAGGTGAAGCCACTCTCACAAAATCACAAGGCAGTAAATAGATCATAAGCCAGGATTTGAACCCACATATCCCATGTGTACCCTTATAAAGATTTTAAGACTGCATGTATTTGTTAATGTAGGGGTGAGAGCATGCATGTGTGAAGATCTGAGGACAATTTACCTGAATCTATTTTCTCCTTCAACCATGTGGTTCCCAGGGATGGATCTCAGGTAGAAAAACAGGCTTGGCAGCAAGTATCTTTACCCCCCAGAATCGTCACACATGCCCCGAGTTGTATCATTTTGTGTGTGCTCTTTGTGTGAATGTGCAAAGATATCAGGTCATGGGAGGCATAAATGGAAATGGCAGCACCCAGCCAAACTTAGCAAAGACATGAAATTTTATGTATCTCATATGGCAAGACAGAGAAAACATCTGAAAATAATGAAATAGTGGGCAAATTGGCATCAGGTTTAATTAAGACTAGAATATTAAAATTTTCCAGGGAAAAAAATTCAGAATAAATCAGCAAAAATGATTACATTTAAAAAAATAAGGAAAACGTAGAATCAAATTAAACCAAGACAACCGTGTAAGAATAAGTATAAGGAATCCATAGTGAGGTGGTGATTCATACCTTTAATCCCAGCACTTGGAAGGCACATTCCTTTATTCCCAACAGTTGGGAGACAGAGGCAGGCACATAAGAATTAAAGTGATTTAAATTTAAAAGCCACTTGCAAAAAGAAGGCTGAAATTCAAAGTGATCGCTACTGCAGAATAGTCCTTTACACTCTGTGAAGACGCGTCACTGTGATTGGTTTAATAAAGAGCTGAATGGCCGTCAGTTGGGCAGGAAGATGTTACTCAGAACTTCTCGGGACAGAAAGGTCTCTGGGAAGAAAACCAGCAGAGTCACCAGCGAGAAGAGGGAGGTAGAAATGCAGGAGGAAGGTAAAAGCCACAGAGTCATGTGATAACAACAAGTACATGAATACAAGTAAGTTAATAAGAGTTATAAAAGCTAGCTAGGAACAAGCCTAATCTATAGGCCAAGTTTTGATAATTAATAATGAATCTCCATGCTGGTTTTTGCAAGCTGGTGACCCAAAGAAAAATCTGGCAACACACTATCTTTTAACATCTAAAAATAAATACTATTAAACCTTGAATTTATATATGAAGAGAAAGGGGAATATAAGTATATTTACCCACACATAATTTGATCAGGCAACCAGCTATTAAGTATACCTGCTTTTAAGACAACTTTTTTTTTCTTTTAGTTAATTGTTTTAGGCTTAAATTTGAGAACATATATAGAAGGGCAAGTCTTGTTTTTAAAATGAATCAGATTTGTACACAGTATAACTAGAAACTTAGTTTTGAGCACTTTAAAGGATTTGAGTTTTATATGGTGATTGGTCACTAATTTATATGTCTTAATTTTCTTTAGCAGTTTTTTAAAAAAGCTAGTAGCTTTTATAAGATCAGGATTTTACAATTTTAGACATAGATCTCTAAGTTAACTTTTCTTAGTTTGAGTATAACTTTGTAATCTTAGGAATTTATCTTTGTACAAAAATACATTCTAATCTAAAATAATTGGGAGATTTGCTTCTCAAGTTTAAAAGAAGATATAATAATGAACAGAGGACACATCAGCACTAAGAAGTGTCACAGGTGCCGCCCTTTTCCAGGAACAGTCAGAGCTGCTCCTGGCTTTCCTCCTATGCAGGTTTGTCCTGCTAGTGTTTTCGTGAGATGGAGGTGCCAGTGGTTCAGTATTACAGTCATGCTTCAATAAGATCTTATTTATTTATTATTTTTAGAGCAAGGAAACTGAGTTGAAGCAGCACATTTAGCCTTTTTTCCACTTTTTGTCTCCTTTCCATTCCTGTCTCCAAAAGCTAATGTTTCATCCATTCCAACTTTCTGTTAAGTAGACTCCAGACTCAAGTCCCTCATTCCAAATGTTTCCTCCTGCTATATCCTTTCAACATTCAAAACCCTTTTGCAACTTTCTTTTTCTTTCACATTAGTCCTCTCATTTTTTTTGTTTTGTTTTGTTTTTGTTTTTATAAATAGCTACTTGATAATTCCACAAATGTATGCTTATATGGAAACATTATATTGCCTTCTATATATAAAAGTTTTATTTAACTTTTTAAATTTATTTTACATATTAACTATAGTTTTTCCTCCATACCCTCCTCCCCTTACCCCCCCCCCACCAATCTACCCCTTTTCCCATCCACTTCTCTGTCTCCATTCAGAAAGTGACAAGACACCCATGGTCTTGAACAAAGCATGGCAAATCAAGTTGAGGCAGGACTGAGATCCTCCAATAGATCAAGGCTGGTTGAGGTAATCCAGCAAGAGGAACAGATTCCCAAAGCCAGATAAGCACCAGAGATAGGTCCTGATCTCATTGCTAGGAGACTTAAAAATAGACCAAACTACACAGCTATCATACACATGCAGAGGGCCTAGGTTGTTCCCATAAAGGCTTCCTAATTGTTGGCCCAGAGTTTATAACCTACCAGTTCAGGTCAGCTGTCTCTGTAAGTTTTTCCAACATGACCATGACCCCCCTGGCTCAGACAATCCCTCCTCCCTTTCTTCAGGAGGATTCCTGGAACTTGTCCTAGTGCTTGCCTATGGATCTCTGCATCTGTTCCATCAGTTACTACATAAAGGCTCTCTGATGACAATTAGGGTAGTCACTAATCTGATCACAGTAGATGGCCAGTTCAGGCTCCCTCTCCAAAATTGCTAAGGGTCTTAGCTGAGGTCATCCTTATGTATTCCTGGGAAAATTCATGCCCATGTGGATCAAACACCTCAACATAAATCCATTTACAACCAACCTGATAGAAGAAAAAGTGGGAAGTAGCCTTGAATGCATTGGCATAGAAGCTACTACCTGATTACAACACCAGTCACACAGACACTGAGATTGACAGTTAATAAATGGGACTCCCTGAAACTCAAAAGCTTCTGTGAGGTAAAGGACACTGTCAGTGAGAAAAAACAGCAGCCTACAGAATGGGAAAAGATCTTCACTAACCCCACATCTGATAGAGGGCTGATCTCCAAAATATGTAAAGAACTCAAGAAACTAGACATGAAAATACCTTTTAATGCTTAGAATGTGTATTTTGGTTTCTTTACTACACCCATTTTCATTCATGGTGCACTATAAAAGGATCAATAAAGTTGCCAGTCTTTCTATGGACTATACTGAGTCATAAAAGTTTTATTTTGATACTAAAAGAGCTGCAATACAAAATCATTTTAAGGAAAAACCAAGTTACTCACTTATTGTAACCTGTTGAGGAAAATTAAGAAATGCCAGTTAATGGTCAGTCACCTTAAATACAATTGGAACGTAAAGTCCTAGTCTTATGAAAGCTCCTAACTTATTGTAAACTTTTAGAGATAATTAAGAAATAGAAGTTAATGGTTAGTCACCTTTTAAATGATGAAATTCTTTAATATGTTCAGAACTATACTTATAGTCATTCTAAGTACTCATGTAATTAATTATAAGAATAAGCCTTATTTATCCCCATGTATATATTTTCAAACTTAATCCTAAAACAAGTGACTGGAAGCAAGCAAAGATTGTCTATTCAGACATACTTTGAGGCCAACCTTGTCTACAGAGTGAGTTCCAGGACAGGCACCAAAACTACACAGACAAACCCTATCTCAAAAAACTTTTTTAAAAAAGTTTAAGCTCCCTATTGTAGATAGAATTGCCACAACATAAATGGAACCATTAAGGTATCCAAAGAATATAGATGGCACAGGGCAACTCTGTCTGGATTGTGGTAACACTGTCAAGGGATGAATCTTTCCCACCTTCCTATTCCCAAATAACCACTCAGAGGCTTATATTAATGATAAACATTTGGCTGATAGCTCAGATATATTATTAGCTAGTTCGTACATTTAAATTAACCCATTTCTTTCAATCGAGGTATACTTGCAGGTTCTGCCCTGACCCCACCCTTCCTCATCCAGTACTTAGTTTGAATGTAATGCCTAACCTTATTCTACCTGGCATTTGGACAAAATAGCTTTATTTATCAACCAACAAGAACAATACATATTCACAGCATACAGAAAGACCATCCCACAGCAACAAACCACTGGGAAAACTGACCTATGCCTTACCTGCTGTCAGGGCTCTCCTCAAACTGAATATTTTTTGATTCGTTGCCATACTTTGCCTGGTAAAAGTAGTGTCACTCCTCCAAGTTGCTCCTCCACAGAACAAAATCTCAGACTTGGGTCTGGCATCCAAAGTCCTATGTATTGTGGGAATTATTGTGGGAAGCAGATCAGCAGAGCGTATACCTTGCTTTGTATTAGTGAGTCTGTATTCCCATTGTTCCATTTAGCCAATGACTTTGGGGAAGAAGCCCTAGGCTGTGGCTTTGTCTGCATATGTGACCCCTTAAGAGCTGAGGGAGAGTTGTCATCCATATTCTTGGGTTGTCAAGACTGGGTCAGGTGGTGGAGAATGGCTTGCAGTTGGTCCCCATCGGACTTGAGGAGATTGGCAGGTGGATCAGAAGCAGACCAGCAGAGCATATACCTTGCTTTGTATTAGTGAGTCTGTATTCCCATTGTACCCCTTAATAAATTGACATGTATACATTTGTTGGCTCTTGCTACACCTATGCTGTCTTGTATGATAGCCAAAGACCTAAAACTACTGTCCCCACTGAAACTGTGGAGACCACTGCAGTGCTGTGGGATATCTTTCTGTATGCTGTGAATATGTGTTGCTCTGATTGGTTGATAAATAAAGCTGTGTGGCCTATGGCAAGACAGCTTAGAGGCAGGCAGGAAATCCAGGAAAGAGACAAGAAGAAGAAAGGCAGAGGAGCCATCCTGCTGTCCAGGGAGCAGCATGTAACAGCACACAGGAAAAGCCATGGAACAGTGGTGACATATAAAGTAATAGAAATGGGCTGAGTTTAATTATAAGAGCTAGCTAGCAAGAAAATTGAGTCACAGGTCATGGTCATACAGTTAGTAATTAATGTAAGCCTCTGAGTAATTATTTTATAAGTGTTTGTGGGACCACAGGCTAGGCGGGACTGGAGAAATCTTCTGACTACACTGAAGTCTATGGTAACCTGTATAGGTAATGGGTCACTCTCATTTTATTTGATACATAGATCATTTAGATTATATTTCCAGTTATAATGTATCCTTAGATCTCTGAGGATATTGACTGACTGTAGCTTTATCAACAGCAAGTACCCAGCTGCTTTCCCAAGACTTCAGCTGCCTTCTCAGTTCTCCTCATATGTAAAAATGTGTCCACAGGCCTCACTTTCCTGGAGTTACTAATGAGTCTAGTCACCATTTACCCTGCTATCAGACTCCAAAGGAGATAAACTCACAAAACGTACTTCAGTGTAAATTTTTTACTATTTTGTTTAAAGGATAATTGTGTTACAATGAACTCTGTCTCATTGTGAATGTTTAGATAGAAAAAGATGTAACATGTAAAGCTTAAGATTTGAAGATATTTGAAATGTTTTAAGGTCTAAGAAAAGGGGTTTTGAGTTGTGTAAATGCAAGTGTATGTAAGGTGTGAGGACGTCAAAGTTTAAATTGTGATAAGATATTGATTTAAGGTATATAAAAAGAATGAATAATGCTTCAAATTTCTGTCTCTCACCATGCTACATTTATGTTAAGACTTCAAAGCTCAAAGTCTTATTAATCAATGCAGTTCTGATAAGCTATTAATGTAGCTCTGGGAAAGCTTTGCTTCCATTGTCATAGTCACAAGCTCGAGATTTTAAATTCCATTTGGTTGTTTAGTAAGTATAGACTTAAAAGTTCTTCTTATTGAGCTAAAACACCAGAATAATCTATATGTATCCAGTATTCTGGATAGAGAAAAGAGGCCCTTCTTTTTTTCATATTTAAAATCAAGACCAAGTGAGCTATTGCCCTTCTGCTCCACAGAATGTTTCTGTTCTCTCTAGGCTTGCCTTAAAGACTGTTCATGCTTTTAACCCAGAATCATTTTTGGGTCCCCAAGCTTTTACCATGACACAAGGGCATGAGTCTTCCTACAATGTGGATTTCAGTACAGCTTACAACAGTAGTAATGCTAACATATCTAAAACTTGTACCTCTTTTTATAACTTAAAAAAGTCTTGTAAGCTTCAGGCCATCTACTTCAACCCACCTCTCGTATGTCAAATGGACTCCAGATATATACTCTTGTCAATCAACAGCCTGCTTCCCCACCTGACTATTCCTGAGGGTGGAATCTTCCTCTGTCCCTGGTCTTGGGACTCCCCTCCCAAAGTGACAAGGACCATGGGCCTAAAAGTTTTAAATGGAGACCTAAGAAACAAATATCCCCCCCCAACCTCCTCAGGATTATCTTCTGTTGCTAATGCATATCTCTTCCAGCAGATTTCCAAGCAATTAAATGCTACAGACTGCTCTAACTGCTGCCTGATTTTCTATCAACAAAAGGCTGGGATGTTAAATTTCAAGACTGGGACAAATGGCTGAGGTGACTCTTTATCATACCAAATCTGGATTTGATCACCAATTTCTCCCAGAATCCTTCAGTCTCTACCTGTTACAGGGTATGTCTAGCATACTGAATCCCCTACCCTGAATTCTTCTGCCCAGGGGCTGGGCTATCCTTCCCCCAGAGGCTCTTCCATATGTAGTTTAGACATTTTGGACACCTGTCTCTTTTGTATCTTTGGCCTCCTGACTGCTCCACCTGGTTCCCATCTCTTCCCTTCCCCTCCCATTCTCCCCACATGACCGAGCTCAGTCTGGTCTTATCCACTGTGGACTCCCTCAGATATCCCTCCCTCTGACTATGCTCTCCCACACAACTACAATAAACTTTCTCCTCCACCATACTTAGGAGCAGCCGTGTCCTTTTCTTTTCATTTATTTTTTATTTTTCATTCAAGCACACCCAGTGATACAGTTCAAAATTATAAAGTTTGCTCTGTTAGTTCATATACTATGAAAATTAAGCATTCATTTAAGCATTAACTAAAGGATTAGGAGAAGGGATCTGAGTTTCAGTCAGATCCTGGGAGAGGACAAATCCCAAAGGTCCATGGCTGGCCTGGAAGCCTAAAGGTCTGGAAACCATTCAGCCTTCATGGCCAAGATGTGTCCAACAGAAAATTCTCTCCCTTCTGTGGGAGCCCGTTCTCGGGTTCCTCGTGGCTTTACCCAGTAGGTCCACATAGAGGATGATTAGGACCGCGGGCCTGAGTGCAGGTGTCTGAGATGGTCTGCACTTGGCTGTGCTGGGGGAGGAGGTCTTTTGCTCACCCCTTGGCGTCTCTATAAAAACCCTGGGGCAGAGACAGTCGGGCCCGTTGGAATAGGTTCCAGGCCCTCTCGAGGCTATCCTTTATTTTCTATCTGTTTATCTCCGCGATATTCTCCGCAATAAATCCTTCTATCTAATATTTCCTGCTGCTCGCACTCAAGAAAACTCTGGGGAACTGTGGGGGTGGTTGGGTAAACGCCCCACAGAATGGAGCCATGAACAGGGACTAAAGAAAAAAGAAAAAAAAGGGACTAAAAAAAGGGGGGACTGAAAAAAGGGGGGACTAAAGACAAATGAACAGGGACTAAAGACAAAGTAATAGGGACTAAAGATAAAGGAAAATAATAGTTTTATTACAGAGTTTTTGGCGAAAGTGCTGAGTTCAGCCCTGCCAGTGGATAAGGCATGCCGGTGTTATGGAAAATATATAATATATATATATATATATATATATATATATATATATATATATATATATATATATATATATATATATATTATTGAGAGGCAGGGGTTTTATCCTCGAGAGAAAAGGAAAGCGGACTGGAAGGATGTCCGATGCTGCAGCGAAATTCTCTTCTGTCAAAATTTTCTATCTTCTATCACTTTCTCAATTTCTATCTGAAAAATAAGTATAAGGCATAGGGTAGTAATATAGTGTAGGAAAAACTTAGAAGTGTAAGATTGTGTAGGAAAAAATAAGGCAACTAGACAGAAAAACTCTCCAATTTTCTAACTTTGGGGGCTATAAACGCAAACTGGGAAAAAAAATCTTTCTTTGGGCTTTTCGGGTAGTAAAAGAGTTCTTTGAGCTTATGGGGAAGAAAAAGTTTCCTGTGGAAGCTTTTGACCTGGGGACAGCTGAAATGCTAAATCCAAGCAGCAGGAGCAAGTGTTTTCTCCCTGAGGCAAAAATGGGAGTGTAAAAAGCCAAAGTTTAAAGTTGGGAAGTTTTGGGAAAAGTTGGTCTTTCTCTCTTGGGAGAAAAATCTTTCTCTTAAACTAAAAGCTTTTCTTGGAAAATTTGGGGGGAAAATCTCTCTAAAAAGCCTTAATCTTAAACTAAAAGCTCTCAAACTTAAAAACTAAAGCCTTTAACTTTCTCAGAAGGACAAAAATTAGAATCACCTGAAGATATTAGTATGGGGACCACCTGTGATTAGCTCTAAGGGAAAACAACAAACCTCTTAAGACAGCAAAACCTCTCTAAGTTCTGACTTTCAAGCTTTAAAAATCCTCCCTGCAATGCAGGAGGCAGGGACAAGTTCCTAAAAACCTCTTCTAAGCTGTCTCTTCAAGCTAGTAAAAGACAGTGGGTCAGAGTACCCTGAAGGAAACGCTTGGGAGAGTGTGGGTGAAGAGCTACAGAGCCCAAAGGGCAGGAAACTTTACCTGAGAAAAGCAAAAAGGCCAAGCTTTTCAGTTACAGCCAAGCTGAGGCATCAGCATCAAGGGTTTAGTTTGTTTGAGCGTTTCAGAATGAAAACATGCTCCTAATCATCCTAATGCAAAGATCCCCTGAAGCACTGTATCCTCGCTTCTGACCAAAAACCCAGGGGTGACTGGCCAGCATCTCTGAGTTGGGGTGCATTTCAGGGATACTAGGGTTCCTGCAGTGGTAAACTTCCTGGAGCACAGAGCTGAGGCAGGAAGGTGCAGGACCCAGGGGAAGATTGCTAATGAACAACCAAAGCTAAAGCCAGTGGGAACAGCACAGTTGTCCACTTTCCTACAAGTCCCGGGTTGATAGGTCCACAGCTGCAAAAAGAAATCTGAGAAAAGCTTTCCTATCAGAGAAAGGACCTTTCTGGGAAAACAGTAAAGCTGAACTGTGTCTGAAGCAGTTGTGCTGCTGAGTCAGAACGCTGTCTGGGGAAAGAGCCAAGCCAGGGTAGAACAGAACTACCCAGGAGTAAAGCTTCCTTTGCTGTCAGAGAAAGCATCTCTTTGAGAAAAGCTTTGTTTCAACTGACTCCCTGAGATGAAGGAGGGTAGCCCTGAGGGGTGATTGCCTCTGGCATAAGTTCTGTCCTTAAGCACCCAGACAAGCAAACCCAACCCACTGGGGGACTGGGCCAGGTGAAGGCCTGATGAAGCAAAGCACCTGTCCTAATGGGGGTTTAGAAATGGCAAAAACCTCCCTTGCTAGTTTTTCAGTCTGTACGCAAACCACACAGACCCTGAAAACAGAAACGGACAAAAAGCCCCTACCTTCAGTAGCAGGGAAAGCCGCCACTGTAGTGTCGGAAATTGTTTCTGGGGTAGAGGGGATAAACTGAGACCAAACTGGGAACTGTCTGGGGAAAAAGACTCTGAAGAAAGAGAAGGGACATATTCCTCCCCAGAAAATGCCTGACCTGAAAAAGCTGCTAGAATTTGAGACAGATTCGGGGGAGAAAAAAAAAGCCCCTACCTCCAAAAGCAGCTAGCAGAGGAACAGAGCCGCAGACAGATACCTGAAGCTCTACATCTGGGGAAGGAAGGAACAAGCAAAATAAGAATAAAATCAGTGGGAGAAAATCTCTCTGAAGGAGCTATGGAAAAGCTGTTGTACATGATCTTGTTTTTCACTGACTGGCTAAGACAAACACAAGCCCCAAGGAAAGTTGCTATCAGAAATTGCCCACCTCAATGCGCGCTAACGAGGCAGGTGCAGTTCTGATTTGGGGCCAGTGTCAAATGAAGGAGAGACACCTGTTAAAGCCAGCTGAGGAGAGAATAGAAACCTCCCAATGTCGCATAGCTGAAAATGTAAAATGCTTGTTCAAATCTCCCATTGCAAAAGCAAAAAACTTTGTTCAAACCTCCCGGGCAAGAATTTGTAAACAAGTCTGGTAAAAGCGAACAAGTTGACTCTCAGACCCGAAAAGAACTATGGGAAATGACTGATATAAGGGAAATGATAAAAAGAACTGATATAAGGGACTGATACTATTATGGACTGATATAAGGGAAATGCATTCTGGGAAAGGTAGTTTTTCCGCTAAAGA